AACATATCGACATGTGCCGACATGTGCTAGCGTTTAACTCCCACTAGCAGGATTACAGAAACATATCGACATGTGCCGACATGTGCTAGCGTTTATAAACTCCCCCACTAGCAAGGTCACTAATAGCATGACCACATCGGAGACAAAACAGGCAGAAGTTAACAGAAAAATCATACTTTACCAATCACTTTCAGATCATCAGGACAATCACTTAAATTTCAAGTAGGCATGCTCAATTTAATGAAAAGCATAAAACATTTCACTTCAAATTAGTCATACTTGTGTAAAACGGATTTAGTCCCGCCACCACTTCAAAAACAAATCAAAACATGTTTTTAAAATAGTACGGGCATTACCATAAATTTACTTACCTCACTCGCATAAAACCGAGCACTCAATTCACGTACTAAAGTACCCCAAGGATCAAGAACCTAATCAAAATATTCCGAGAATCAATACCATACTATCACAAATTCAAGCTGAAATCATCATTAGGATCATTCCTAATCACAATGCTATTTCCATAAATCTCCACATGATCAAATATATCCAAAATCGTTCTTATATCACAAACTAATCATTTAAATCCCCGTTAATCGTTTACTCTCGGGTGTGAACAGTAATCTATGAACAGTACCCGTGAACAGTACCACGACGTGAACAGTAACTCCAACTTCCAAAAATTGGCCAAACCACTAGCTAATTCACGGGATTTTCTCCAAAAATCACATAGCAATCAATTAACACTCAATCACATAAATCCCACTTGAATTAAGCCAAATCATGGTCTAATTACTATCAATTTCTCCCCTATTTTTCTGTCAAATTCGGACAACACAGCCAGCAAACTAAATGGCTAATTTAAGCCTTAAAAGGGCTGTCACATACCATAATTTAGCAAGCAAAACCGAGCTGCAGTTTGGGAGAGAAGCCGGCGGCAAGTGCAGGGAAGAATCACGCAATCTACCCAAAAATGGGAGGAACAAGAGCAATTAAGGCAAACCCAAGGCAATTAAAGCTAGAGAAGGGGAATTTCGAGCTATTTCTTACCAAAAAACCGAGCAATTCACCCCCACAAAGCAGGAGCAGCGGGCGGTGAAAAGGAAGAGCAGAGCAGATCCGGATTTTCCAGCAGTGGGAGAAGGTTTCTGGGTTCCATTTTCAGTTCTAGAACAAGAAAGGAAGGAGAAATCCAATCTTTCTCACCGGTTTTCTCAAGCATGGCTGGGTTCCCCTTTTTTTTTCCTTCGGGCGGCTGCAGCGGGAAGACAGAGCAGAACACGCGGGGAAGAAGAAGAAAAGAAACAAAGAAAAAGGAGAAAAGAAAAGAAGTCATCCTTATCCAAAATGTTTTCCTCTTTAAGTCCCTCAACTTTCAGAATATTCACATTAGGCCGCAAAACAATCTTTTCTCACAATCAAGTCCTTAATTAAATGCTAAAATCCCCGAAAATTTGGGGTATTACAAAATGTTTGTTCTTTATAACTCTTCCATGTCTTTTTTTCAGGTTTCTTCCATGTGCAGATACATCGGTTTCTTTCTTTAGATTGTTTTTATTTATTTATTTATTTATTTTCCAGGTTTCTTCCATGTGCAGATACATCGGTTTCTTTCTTTAGATTGTTTTTATTTATTTATTTTTATTTTTTAGGTTTAGATACATAGATTTAAGGTTTGGATACATAGATTTAAGGTTTGGATACAGGTTCAGTCAAGGGAATAAGGAGAGGGGGAGAAAGAGTGAAGGTGACAAAAAAGAACTTTGGTAATAAAAGGATAAGCATAATACCTTTTGTCTCTACTAAAGCTACTGTTGTTGTAGATAAAAGGTTGACTTGTGATATGTAAAATGAAGAAAGAAAACTAATAGATCTTAGATAGATGTTGTTCTTTTTTCTTTGTCTGTGTCTAAGCAAGTGTGCTAAAGTCCATATAAAACATTTTCATCACTCATACCTTTTATATGATTGAACAAACTTAATTCAAGAATGAGAATTTTTTCTTGCATAATGGAATTGAAAGGAATCATGCTAGTAGAAGGATTTTTGGATATGACTATCTTGATTCAATACTAAACTTTAGTTTTTATTTCATAATAGTTTTATAAATAAATTTGAGGTACCCGTTGCACCTCTTTAATAAAATTTCCTTTGCTAATAAAAAAAAAAATTACTAACTTTATATAACATTATATATGTATTTTTGATATCATGAATAGTGTTTTATTAATTACTTTTTTTATTAATATATTAGTTTATATTAAATTTTTAAATATATTTTTTTTCATTTCATGGCCTCGGCAATGTCCGAGGTATTAACTAGTCACTTAAAAACATACTTGTAGCTTTGATTATCTTAATTCAGATGTATTGAATTTTTAATATTTATTTGAGTTCCATTCATTATAATAATAATCAAATTATCTGCATTCTGTCACATTCCCCCAAGTTCAAAAAAAAAAAAAGAAAGAAAAGAAAACATCACTTAAAAGGAATGACTTTTCGTTATATTGAGTTTTTCAAATTTATTTTAAAAATATCGGCAGATTTAATATTATAAAGAACTAATTAACACCATTATATAAATTAATCCATTGTAACAAAACCTTCATTAAAAACCTATAAAAAATTTTATTTAAAATTTAAAGAAGATAATGAAAAAAAAAAAATACACCTTAAAAGAAGAAGCATTACACAAATCTGAAGGCAACAAAACAGACCTAAAAGATAGGGTAGGGTTCTTTTGAGGACGGGGGAGGCAGAAACTAGATTTTTTAACAAGTTTTTAAAATTTACACATTTTAATCTCCAGAAATTTACGTAAAGGTCATTTAAAAATGTTTATTTTTGAGATTTCCATTAATAAATTTATGAAATTAAAGCAAACTTTCTTTTAAGATTTGCAAATAGGATCTTAATCTTATGGTTAGGGGTGTTCATGGTATAGTTCGGTTGGAATTTTAATATTTTTTAAATTAATCCACTTTAATTAATTAATAAAATTTTTAAACCAATTCAATCCATTATTATATGATAACCAAACCAATTCAACTTAAATTGGATCAATATGGTTCGGTTGGATTGATTGGTTTTTAACACTATTAAATATATGAGATAATATAAAAAATTTTAACATTAAATCGAAAATATAGCTATAAAATATATTAACATTCAAAATACTAGAAACATAATAAAATGCAAAAATTATAAACAAGTTCTTATACTCATTTATAATTGTAAAAATTGAAAAGATTTGAAAATTCTTATTGACTAAATCACTAGAGGCATTAAGAATAATAAAAGATAATTTTAAATTTTAAATACAGTATAAGTAATTTTTAAATGTTAAAACTAATTTTTTTCCTTAATGCAGCAAATGATTCAATCTCATTTTTCAAATCTTGTTAAAAGTAATTAAAATTTAACATAAATGTCATTAGGAATGATTAGAAGTATTCATAATTAAAATTTAAAACTTCTTAACTAAATATCTAAAAATAGTAGAATATCAAATTTAGTTCTATTATATAGTTTTAAGACTTCTAGAATGATATTTCTTAAATTTTAATTAAGAGAATCAAAATATTATTTTAAGAACAAATTAACAATTTAGAGTTCTCCAAATAGAATCATAGATTAGTTATAAGAAATAGAGTTATAAGTGAATTAGAAATTTAGAATTAGAGTTAGAGTGTATGATTTAGAAAGAAAAATAAATTAGAGAATATAGAGATATTCTATTTCTATTTTTAAATTAAGTTAATGAAGTTATCATCTTATAAAATAATAAAAAAATTTAAAATATTACAAAAAAATTATATTATTTAATTAAATTATTATGTAATCAGATTTTATTTTATAATCGAACGATTCAAATAATCTAAAAGTAAAATTACAAATCAAATCAATTATATCAATTTTAAAATTTTATAATCTAAACCAACTTAATTTTATATCAATTTTATTTTATTTTTTATTAAATTATATCAATTTATATCAAATTAATCGGAATGAATCGGATTTCAACGCCCCCTTCTTATGATTGCAAAAGAAGGAAAATAAACGCATGTATAAATAGAAGTTGTTTGGCAAATCTCTAATAAAACTGTTATTGTTACAGCTGGAAAGAAAATTGGAACTCTCGCTTTCCTTGAAGCTCGCCATCCATGAGGTCTCTATACAGCATCACAACGTATAATCCCTCTCCTGTCCCCAATTCCGTCGTCAAATCCCGAGACCCCTTCTCTCCAATTCATCCCTCTACTCATTTCTTCAATAAACCCAGTTCAAACCCACCAAAGAGCCTAATTCTCTGCACCGGAAAGAGAAAGAAATGGGTCATTGGGTCCGTGGCAGAGGACAAAGAATCGGTTCCGGTGAAGACTACCCATTCAGACCAACAAGAGGAGCCTTTGTTCCCAACTAGCTCTAAGGATTTTGCAGCTCCTTCTTCTTCTGAAGAGGAAGTGGGAGGTGATGATGAGAAGAGGTTGATTAGTAAGACGATTAACGCATCAATTGTTCTTGGATTTGGTACGCTTGCAGTTACTAAGCTGCTCACGATTGATCATGATTATTGGCATGTAAGTCTTGATTTGCATATGCTTTTCACTTTTCAGTCATTTTTGTGATTTTTAGGTTGTTTGATTAGAAATAATCATGGTTTCTTGTTTTTTGAGTGATGCTAAATGCTAAATTGTGCTCTCTACGTTTTGCCTTTCTGCTCAACGGATTTGGATGGTTACTTTTGATGTCTAAATATGCATATGAGATGAGAAATTTTTTAGGGTTGACCTTTTAGGTTGCTAAAGATCCTTTTTTTAGCTTTGTTCTTGATTAATTATGGGTATGGTTGTTTGACATTAACTTGCTCAAAGTAAGTACCATTTTTTCCTAGAGTTTGATGAACTTTATAGTCCTTCCTGTTCTGAATTAGGCATTCCAGGCTTTTGAGATGGTTTATTGGTTTTCTAACTTAATCATAACGATTTTTTTTGGTCTTATTTATCTAACCTAACACATTTTTGAAGAACTTACACAGATGAATTTTAGTTGCATTTGATTTTTGTTCTGGAAAACTAGTCAACCATATATGATTGGTCTGTGTTTCATCAGAATCAGAATGGTGCCTATAAATATTGGCTGGTACAACAATTTTTTATCATAGGAAAGCTGTGATTTATTAAATAAATGAGGTAAAAAATTAATATCTGGGGATTGATTTCTTTTTATACTTGAAGAAAAGAGGGTTATTTATATTGTGTCTTGTATGTGGGCATTTATTTGATCGTATTTACTGTTATCAGGGTTGGACACTATTTGAGGTACTACGATATGCACCAGAGCATAATTGGGTTGCATATGAAGAAGCCCTTAAAGAAAACCCTGTTTTAGCCAAAATGGCTATAAGCGGGATTGTGTACTCAATAGGAGATTGGATTGCACAAGTGAGTATCTTTTGTAGAAAATGTGAACAAATTTTGTTTAGTGCCTTTGATCTTGCTATTTACTTGTTTCAGTTAATTCTTAATGCATTCTGTTTGTAGTGTTATGAAGGAAAACCTCTTTTTGAGTTTGACTTGACACGCATGTTCAGATCAGGTCTTGTTGGTTTTACTCTCCATGGGTCTCTTTCTCATTACTATTACCAATTCTGTGAGGTGAAACTGTGGCTCATTCTTGTTTCATTTTTGTTCTTTGGTTTTAAATAATTTTTTGTGGATCACTTAATTATTTGCTTTTACTTGCAGTCTCTTATTCCTTTCCAAGATTGGTGGGTGGTCCCTGCTAAAGTTGCATTTGATCAAACAGTATGGGCAGCTGTCTGGAACAGCATCTATTATGGGGTTTTGGGTTTTTTGCGTTTTGAATCCCCTGCTAATATCTCGAGTGAACTAAAAGTAACATTTTGGCCCATGCTGACTGTAAGAAGCTCTTCTAATTTCCTCTAGACAAATTTGCATCCAAGTAGTTCTTTGTTTGACGGGCTTATTTACATGCTTGTTGCCCTTGAGTTTATCTAACAACAATGCAGTTTAGTTAAATGACTGGTCATTGTGTAGTTCATCACATATTCTCTTCAAGTTTTACTCTTGATTAATTATTCCTTCAATAAAAAGTGTTAACATTAGAGATTATGTATTTAATGCAGTTCAGTGGTGATTTCTAATTCGATCAGTTGCTTTCTAACTCTAATACCTGGAAGATTATAGGTTCATGGTTGGAAGTCTGGTCTATGAACTGGATTTTGGTTTTCCTTCACACCTCTTTGCCAAACCCCAGCAAGAAAAATATAACATCCTCATCCAAGAAAAATTTATATAAATGAGAAAAAAAATGGCATTGAATATAATACAACTCTGAGGTACTATTTAAACAATTTAATGTATTCGAACTGTAGCTGTTGATTTATGCTTCTATTAATAGTGTCTGGAAGGATTTTGTAAATAGCTTTGTGGTCATGGCCTAAGAAAAAAAAAAGAAGCTTTGTGGTCTATTTAAGTGTTTGATGATGATATGAACTGTAAAAAGACTATTTCCTTTTTATGGTATGTGCCGAGTGCTTCAAGGACTTATAAATAGTCTAATGGTCCATTTAGGATGTAATGGCAACTTTTATTTCTGCTAGGTAGTTTTATTAAAGGTTTTGTTCCTCTGCCTATTTTCTGCAATGTTGATGACTAATTTAAATTAGACTCTTGTGTTTGATCAACTTGCAATTAGCCATCTATTTATTGGAATCTGATCTGATGGCAAAATGATTTGATGTAAACAATTACATGACAGGCAGGGTGGAAGCTCTGGCCATTTGCTCACTTGATTACCTATGGTGTTATCCCTGTTGAGCAAAGGCTTTTATGGGTGGACTGCATTGAGCTTATCTGGGTAACAATACTGTCAACGTAAGTATCTGGATATTATCTATTAAAGCATGTGAAGGAGTATCTGACAGCTTCTACTACAACATTGTCATTGCTTAATACAATGCTTTATTCAAAAAATGATTTCTTAATATGTTTGATTGCTGTGAGGGTGGCATCATTTAGTGGTATTAGAATTATCATTGCAACTCTTGATCCCTTTTCTTCTCTTCCCTTTCATTTCTGATTCTTTTGCTCTTCTCGTGCGTTTATTCTGCATTATTGACAACCAAAATGATTCTGTTCTATGGAAAATACTCAAATTGCTGCAATTCACAAGTCATTTTTTCTTTTCCATTTTATTGCAAATCTCTGTTTTTTAACTGTTATTTGTCTTTCATACCATACTCTATGTTATTTCATCTACACTTAAATTTCTGAAATCCAATAGCTGAGTTTCTTCTTTCTGTCCTTGCTTAAACATCTGTTGGAGATTCATTCAACTATATATATCTTCAGTGTCCAATTTGGTTTTCCTTTCTGATTCTGGTTTACCTTTTTCTTGAAGTTATTCAAATGAGAAATCAGAAGCACGAATATCAGAGGCTACAGTTGAAGCAGACTCCAGCTTATTAAACAATCCTCCTAAGGTAACACAAATGCCCTCTTAGTCTGCTTCATTTGAACTTGGCAAACTTGAGGATCCTCACAGTATTTCTCCACCATGAAACCTGCAATTTAGGCACTTGATATAGCCAAATGTAGAAGCTGAGTTTTCATTATTAGTTTCTTGTTTGGCTGCCTTAGTTAATTAAAGCATTTGGTGCTAGTCTCATTTTCCCATGCTCTGTTCTCCTCCCTACTGCCCTGAAAGGAGGCTTTACTTACTGAATAGCGTGCATCACCACTCCACATCCATAATGCACTAACATGCTTCATTTTTTATGGTCATTTAGCAGGAATCATGAATTGGAAAACCTGCCACTTAGCCAACAAGATCCTAAATGTCAATGTTTGTTTCTCTAAAGCAAAACAGTGATTAGGGGGGATACATACAGTAGATGTTCAGAATGCAGAACCTGAGCATGGAAGGACATTTTGTGGTCATTGATATACAGAATATAATAGCTCTTCTCACATGTATATCTGTTCTTCAGGTTCATATTTAGCACATAAATGCATGAATTAACATTTTATCTAGTAAATTAAAAAAACTCTTGCCAGATTTGACTGGAAAATAGCATCAACCCAAAATTTTTGAATATATACTCATATCGGCCAGGCAATGTTCAGGATAACAGAACTCCCTCTGTTCCTATTTATCAGTTGAAAGACTGTTTGGAAACAAACAAGGTTGAAAATGTCAATTTTGGGTCTATTTGGTTAGTTGTCTGGAAACAGTTGATAATTGATAAAAAAAAAATAGCATATATGCAATGATTGATACTTTATTAACTATTTGTGCAAAAATGATATAGTTATAATATCATATACCGTTAGAAGTTTGTAATATGATGTGTTATTATATAATAAGTTTTTTTCATTTGGGGTTTCATTTATAATATTGTATATATTTATTCATTTAATAACATGTTATAATTGTAAAATTACAATTTTACGTGGTATTGTAATTATAGCATTATTATTTAGTATTCAAGTATTATCAATAATTAGATGTTAATTATCAATTATAAGGTATTTAAAATAACTAAATCAAGATTTTTGTTCTGAAACTAGGAAAGTATGTTCCTATGGCATTTGGCATTTGGCATTTGGCATTTGGTACTGTAGGCTCTCTACACTATTCTTTTGTTTTGAGTACAAGCATAGTGTACAAATTGTACACAACACAAATATCTCCACTAAAATACAATATAAAAATTAGGAAAAACTTGGTGAAAATAAATATCTCGATTTAAATACAAAATAAAAATTAGGAAAAACTAGGGGAAACTCCGTTAATTATAGGAGTTGAAATTGTGAGGTCTCATTACTGATCAATGACGTCATATTTAGAAGTCAAACCCTTAATCTTAGAGTTATGGGTTCTCACTCTATCACTAGGCTATAAACATCACTGAGAAAGCTTTCTTTACTTAATTTATTAGATCTATCATAGGCTTATCTTCATATATTGAGGTCATAGTTTACCACTTTCTAACCTATGTGGTAATGATCATAGGTTATTTGATTATTTTGGGTGTAAATAAAACTATGATCTTTTATAAAAAAAAAAATAAATAAATAAATAAACCAAGACAAATATTAAAATACTAAATATTAATACTCTTATATATATATATTTATGGTTATGATGTCTTTAAATTAATCCTTTTATGGATAAAAATTAAAGGTACACTTTTATGTTGAACTAATGCATTCAAATAAGTTAATTTCATTAAATGCTAACCTAAAGACTTTAATTATAGACTTGACCTACAACCAAAACTCAAGTTTTATTTAATATAAATGTGATTTTGATGAGTTTATTATTTTGATTTTTAAATATTTAAAAATTTTAAAATAAAATTAATAAGTTTTATAAATTAATTAAGTTTAAAAATTTTAGTTGTTTATTTGGAAAATTTTATACTCAGTAAGTTCTCAATTTTAATTTTTAATTTTAGTTTTCAATTATGAATTTCAAATGGTTGAATTTTGTAACTCAAAACAAAAAATAAAAAATCAAAACTATACTATATACTAAACCTGGGCATCAAATTATAGTTCCATAACTAACAACTGCAATTTCCTAGTTTAAGGTGGAAGCAGGGGTGAACATTTTTTTCAGTATAGATTGGATATGAAGTATATTTAGTACTTGATTAAAAATTTTCAAGTACAAATTTTTAGACTTGGTATTTAACTAAATACTCAAAAATTTATACTTGATATCTAATCCAAAAGATAGCAACTTGCAAGCAGGGGTGGGCACATTAATTTTGGATATTACTAAACTATCTAAATTTCTCACCCAAAATTTGAAATTTTGGTTGGAATAATTCGAATATTTGGATAAATTTAGATAAAATCAAAATGATTGAATATAATTTCGATTTGGATATTGTTATTGACTTATATCCAAAATTACCAATTTGAACTATCAAATTATTTGAAAATTTTTAATATTAAATAATTATATATTTTTGGATAGAATTCCTTTTTGGTTAAATTTATAGACAAAAATCCTAAAAGAAAAAAATTAGAATAATCAAAATTCAGAAGTGTAAGCTTTTATTAACCAACAATGAAAAATAATCATACATAAAAATTTTGATTATTTTGGTTAATAACAAAATTATCCAAATTATTTTTGTTATCTGAAATTATAATCGAATTAAATATTTGGTTTGGGTTTGGAATGAAGGCCTCATCTGAAAATTTTTCAAATAATAAAAAATTTGGTTTGGGTTACTTGGAATGGTTTGGACCGAATGCTCAACCCTATTTGTGAGTTTGTACTTGTGTATTTGGCTTAAGAAAAGAAGAGATTTTATATATGAGTTATTATTACTACGTGTGTCATGTGTTTAGTTTAGTATTTATTATTTACACAAGTTATTGGTCTGTGTGTATGGTTTCTTTAGTTAGGGTTTATTTTTGTATTTTGTATTTTCTTTTATTTTTAAAAATGAGGAGGGATCTTTTTACATACAAATTTTACACACTAAATTTATATAAAATTTTAACTATTCATTTCTCCAATTCAATTATTAAGCTTTTAGAAGAAAAAAGATAATTATTTTTAATAAATGTAAATAAATCTCAATTATTAAGAATAGATAAATGAATTATTGAAATTTTATGTAAATATGGTATATAAGATTTGTGTGTAAATAAATCTCTACTTGTTAAAAATTATTGTTATTATATAGATATAAAATAATAAGTATATATAAATTTTAATTATATAAGTACATGTAACAAGTTAATTAAACAAATCAGTAAAATAGGTCAGGTAAATAATTTCAAACCCCTATAATTGGTACTTGACTCAATATTGAAGAATATATTGTTTTCATACTTATTACTTAATTCTTTTATAGTTTGAGAGTGAAGCTTACTCGAATAAGTAAGGTATTTACAAATAATAAATGTATTTACATCCAATGCTTAACCCTAGGCAGAAGTACGTAGTTTGGGGTTAGGCCTGTTCTATATATAACTATAACAACTCAATGAAAACAAATCCATTAATGGATTTAGGGGTAAGCATTTTTTTGGCATAGATAAGAAATATGTTTGATATTTAAATTAAAAATTTTTAAAGTATAATTTTTTAAACTTGGTACTTATC